TTCTGAATTGGAAAATCTGCCCTATGAAAAGATATTCCAATACGAATTGACTTTTCCATAGGCGAAAGCCAGTCTCATCATGCATCTCTCATACCAAATGACAGCTTTGATGTCAACAACCTGGGTAACTATGAAGAATAGTCAATAGTGAGCCTAATTCCATCATGCATCACTACTCCTGATGATTTCATGAATTTAAGAGTAAAATGGACCTCTCTGTCATTGTTGCTATAATATACCACCATTTCACCTAACATTTTTATGCAAGTAACCTAGGCATTAAGTCTCAAGAAACAGTACATAGGGATGAATGGCAAAGCATAATTCAGTATCACTTGGTATTATTTTTCTTTCCTTCATTCTGCTGCACTTTCAGAACCCTCCAGATATGGAAATACATGCGTCCTTTTGGGGAGTTGTATCAAATTTTAATGTAAAGTCACAAATACATTTTGCACCATTAGGCAATTATACCTTATGCACTTTCAGAAAAGGCTCTGTACTTTTCAACCAAGGTGTTAATTCTTTAAAATGTGGATTTTAAAACTTTTTAAACTACAGGAGCTTTTTTAGAAACATGATTTTGCGAACACCTGCCGGCCTATTCATTGTCAAACAGGCCAAATCTCATTCCATTTCTGATGGCTTAACATTCATATGAATAATTCATTAATTGCTGCTACTACTAAAATGATATTACGAGAATATATGCTGCATTCTAGCTCCCTTTCAATAACACTGAGCAACTGAAAAAGAGGAGAATAAACTGAAATAGGCAAAATGGATATGTCTGTAAATTTGCTCTTGGACAATTGTTCATTCAAGACACTGAATTTGTTTGGAGCTATTACGCTGACCTTTGATTGAGCTACATTTCAGAAACTCAGAATACATTGCAGAAATTCACCAGCAAGTCAGTTGAACTTAAAAGTAACTTGTCAAACACTATGCTCAAACTGGTTGCATGTGGGAAGCAGTCCAAGACAGAGACACTTGATATTTAAGTAAGAAAAAATAAACCTTTTCATAGAAAACATACTTTAGTACGTTGGTACTACGTACCAACAAACGTACTTGGTACTAATCCAAGTCAGATTAAAACACTGAATCACACGTACACAGGCATGACTATAGCTCCTCTCAGAATAAAATACAGAGAATTTTTTCTTATTCCTGTTTATGCAAAGGAGAGAATTCCCATTAACTTCAGAGGAGCCAGGATTCACTGCCAAATGAAATCAGAGATTTCCAATTTGGGGACATACTGTGTTCTGTCATATTCTCAAAGAGACTTTGTTTTGGATCTGCAGATACGTAGTCCAAAATTATGAAATTTATCTAAGGAAAGGAATTAGTAGATGGATGCAGATGATGGGAATTGTTCAGCACTCGCTTTTTGAAGGACTGCTTTGGGGAAATTAGTCACAACCATTTACCATTTTCAGGCTGCAGAATGTTTCATTTCCTAAGAAGCATAATGCAGTATAACCCAGGTGTTGCAATTTGCTATCCTCTCAAATCCTACTGCAATTTTTTGAACAAGTCCTTTTCAACCTGAAGGCATAACAGAATGAAATTGAAAGAGGAGAAGGATTGCTATCTAGAAAGACACCAGAGATTCATGTGTTAACAGAATAAGTGAACAAATTAATGCTAACTTCTCAAACTTCAATGAAAAATAAACTAATTCATATTCTAAGGTATTATTCTTTAGTTTAAACACAAGCCTTCTTGTTTCTTAACATCAAGACCATACTACTAGAAACTGGCAGAATTAACAACTAATCATAGACTCATTAAGGTTGGAAAAGATCTTTAAGATCATCAAGTCCAACCATCAACCTAAAACCACTGTGCTCACTAACTAATAATTCATAGTCAATAATAGATCCTCTATTTTTAACAGAAAAATGTTGACTTAATTGAAGAACTTGGAAAAAGATGGAAAAAGAAGTATGATAAAGACCATCGCTAAAATAAAGTTGATGGGTGAAATCCCTCCTGCATCACATCAAAAGCAAGAATCACACATTTTCGTCACACAAATTAAATATAAAACTCCAGTTTTGTCCTATCCACCAGATATAAAATCAGATGAACACTGCACTTCCACATTTTACTATGGCCTTGATTTACCTGAAAGAGTTCTGTTGATTTATCCAAACTGTAACTTGAAATTTTTATTCTCTTTCACAAAATTAATGGCCTTAACAGCAAATAATAGCTGCAGAATGAATAAGGTTTAATGAAATTCTAGTCATGTTTTTTGACCAAGATTTTCTAAGAACAGGTTTTTCCAAATTGAGTAAGAACAAACAGAAAGACAAAAAGTCTAATTCTAAAAAGAGAGAAAACAAGTGTTAGTTCTTTTTTTTTATAGCTTTGTTTAATGTCCACTGTTATGGCATCCTACCTAAGACTCAAATTCAAATATTATACCTATTTATTCATTCTATTCCAGTGAAAATAACATAATTGCACCATTGTAATAAGCTATGTGAATAAAGATGAGAACCAAGCTGTAATTAGCAACAAGTACAGGCCCTATGAATTTATCCTATAGCAACATCCATGTCTGAAGTAATGAAATGCTAATGACAGCTATACTTTAAGTCTCAAATTAAACTAAGACTTAAAAGCCATCATATTCTCATGAATAACCCTTACTTATGCATAGCAAAAGCAGTAAGAGAAACTGCTAGAGTTTAGGCACCCTAAATAATGCTCTGTCACCCACAGGAGTGGCAGCAACATCAGTGGGTACCCAAAGATTAGAATAATTAGCACTTTGCACTTTTGGCATGTGCACCGTCCAGCTTCTCTTCATGTTTTCAATTAGTAGCTTGATTTTCTGTCACTCTGCCTGCCCGTCTCTCTCTCTCTCAGCCATTCCAGTTTGCGGATGAGGGGGAAATGGTATTTAATCTTCCTGATTTCTGGCATTTGCAGGAAAGTGCCATCAGTCAAGAACTGCTAGTGAAAAATACTGTTTCTGGTTCATGAGTTTAAGTAAGTATTTGCTTTCTCCCTTTATTCACATAGTTTATAAAATCTTTGTGTCTCTGCTGAGTAAAATAAATCAAACCTTGATTTGTAGTGTAGCTCACAGTCAGTTTTGTCTAAATTGTACTGACCAGCCATGCAAAGCTCTAAAATATTAAGAGAACAAAAGTTTTATGCTATGAAGCCAATATGAATAGTCTGTATCTTCCCCATATATTGCCTTCAGTGCACATTCTAGATAAAATGAGTCAGTTAGCAAAATGCTAAGTTAGCAGATTTCAAAAAAGCACAGTTCAGACTAGTGTTTTTCACTAGTTGTGTGTGGAAGTAGTCACCAGTTATGCTTTAAAACTGTCAACAAAACCAAATGGCATTTGAGTGCTCATGTGAGGCAACATGTGAGGACTGCACTGAGACTGAACTGCCATGTGCTGTGTGCTGAACTTTAAATGGTTGCCTTCTGTTTTTATTATTAATATAGAATCCTATCAGCATAACTAATAGTTTATTTGTATTTTTGCAAGTTGCTAAATATTCATGCTGCAATGACTTGAAAGAAGAATGCTCTCTGGCAAGCTAACTAAAATAACTGGGAATGAAATCCAAAGAATAGAGTGGGGAAAGAGGAAAGAAGAAGAAATAAGAAAAAAAATTACAAGACTCTAATTTGAATTTATTTTGCTAGACAACATTCACAGACCATTTCTGTCAACAGAAAATTATACTGAATCAATTAACATGAGTATCAGGCAAAACAGAAAGCCCAGCCACTGCCACCATGATGCTATTTTGATGAACATGAAAGCGTAAAAAATCCCACCCTACTGCTTTGTGTTTTTCTGTGCATTCATCCTTTTTGAGTTTTTTTGTTTGTTTTGTAGATATCATCACAGGAAGTTCTCTAGTGTACGAAGAGTCGGAACAGACTGGACACCCTGACAGATAATAGCTTTTAAAGACCCATAAAATAATTGGAGGGATACAAAACTGCTCTGTCTGTGGCACTGACACACTTTGGTAATTTCACTTTCCAACCCTGACTAAGCCTTTTCCTTCATGAGGCAACTGTCAGCAATGCAAACCATGGAAATCACCCCTGCCTTGTTCTTTATAAGTGGTCAGGCCCTCAAACACCAAATCGGTAATGAAAAACATGAGTAGATAGTAGAGAGGAAAGTAGCTCAATATAAGCTTTACATTTCTGCAGCCCTGGGTCAAATTTGTGTTTGGGCATTTGTCCAGAGAGGCCTATACGTCTCATATTAATTTATTTTTCTTTATTTCTTTTTTTTTTTTTCCTCCACTCTAACAACTTTGTCTCGAGCAGCCAAACTTTGTGACAGGAAATAAACTGCCCTCATGTGATCCTGCTCTATCAGGCGCGTTGGACTGGATGATCTTCAGAGGTTCCTTCCAACGCTGACCATTCTGTGATTTCTGTGATATCACAAAATACCTTCCAATTCTGGAAGACATTTTCTGTTCAGCTTCAAGCCAACAGCTTTGCTGCAGCTGCTTAATGCAAGGTGTCCATACACCTGGCTGAAGAAGAGCTAGGAGGGGATAGTAAATACTTTACTGAAATAAAATTACTCACCCTAAGCTGATCTTGTATATTTTCTGAGTGCAGCAATATGTGACAGGCTGCAATCAATTTAGCAAGGTAATTGGAAAGAAGCTACATCTTATGAATCATTTAGGGTTTCAGCTAGGTAACTTTAGCTAACAAGACACTTGAAGTTGCCCTTTATCAGTTCATATGGTTGTGTTATCTAATTTTGTATGTGCCTGTGGAAGAAATGAGTTTTAATGTGTTTGATTCACTCTCTGAAATGAACTGTACTGATAAATAATTTTATTTTGTGGAAATTGCTCCATTGCTCTGGTATCGACAAGCTGAAATCAGACACTTGAATACTGACTGAGGTCTTGGTATGATGGTGTACTCAATAAAAAGATGAAGCAAGAAGGAGAAAATACATTCCTCCTATGCTTACCAACACTGTCACCACACGTAGGACCACTCCTCGCATGTTATTCTCCAACTTTCTGTCTGTCAGTGACCCATTCAGACCAGTGACGGGATTCCAGCAGCCAAGCTGAAAGAGAAAACAGAAATCGTTTCCTCATTGCCCATAAAACTCTGCCAGTCATTCCTCTTAGTGAATGTACAAAATAAACAGAACACCTTCTGGAATCAATGAGATGAAAAGTCAGGGAAGGGCTTGCACACAGATTCATCTTTAAATTGCGCATGAAGCTATTAGGAATATTAGTTTGTGCTTTTAAATACCACTGTCCAATAGATGACAGCATCCAGAGTTTAGGTGTATATGTATTGCTTTAGAAGAGCTCAAGGAGGACAACTTCTATATTAATGAAAAACATTTAAAAAGTAGTTGTAATAATACTTCTGCCTTACTTTCAGTGATACGCTAATTGGACGAATAATAGCTACCATAATTTTAGCATTCTGACTGTTTCAGCCCATCTTTCCTAGTGGAACTCTGAGGAAAAGAATTACACTAGTTTTAATTACAGCTTAAACTACTCATTAATAATGAAACAGCAGTGATTTTTAGCCAGGTTAAAAATCACATCTAAAGACGACTGAAGAAAAGACCATTGGATAGGCACATCACAGTATTGAGAATGGACTGCAACAGATAATGCAGGAAAAGGAATTCAGCTACAAGAAGCTTTGCGTTAGTATTATTGTATCTCTTAGGCTTCTATGGACAGAAGCTTTTTTCCAAGGATCTCTCTAGGCCTAACTGCCTTTCAATTTGAATTTACTAGATACTGACCCGTAATTTAGCTTCTCTGAAGACACAATTTGCCTCTATCTTTGCATGATAGTAGATGCTTATCTAGGTACAGAGAATCAGACCAACGAAACACTCATCCCTTAGTATCACATACAAACATCACTGACTTCAGTTCTGGAATTCATTACCACATTCATCTGGCCTGTACAATTACCAGTGTTAAATCCAAAACTCAACAGGACAATGACTAACTTTAGAGGACTTTGAAGCAGAGTCTTAATCATAGCATGTAAACTAATTGCCTATTTAAACCTCTTACACATTCAAAGAGGCACCTGTAGGTAGCAGTTCTTGCTCTGAATTGCCTTCTCCATGGACTGTGCATGAAGTCTATGGAGGAAAGCTCATTTTCTGACTTGAGTGGATAACTTAAACCTCTAAATCCAGGTGTTTTTCATGCCGTTTTTTAAAGGCCCAAAAGGTCTTGCTCTGACAAAAAACAAGATTAACATCTGTAGGTTACTGCTGGGCTCTGTGGCCTCTACTAAGACTCGACTCTCAGAGAATTCAACCCTATAATCTCAGAAATATCAAGTGTAAAACATCCAAAATGTTACTGTACTTTAAGGCACAGTCACAGAAATGGCAGGGTGTCTGAACCAGCTTGTGTTGGGTTTTTCTGTGAGGGGTTTTTGGTTGTGTCTTTGGTAATGGGGGAAGGGCTATGGAGATGGCCCTTTAAGAAGCTACCTGAAAAGTTCCCCCTTTGCCTTTGTCAGACCCACCTCTGACCAGGGCCAAGCCAATCAGTGCCCCTGTGAATTCATATATTTAAGGGAGGTGCAGGGCAAGCCTCACTCTCTCTCTGGCACGGGCCCTGACCAGCACAGCCCGAGTACAATGTAGCAATTTCTCTGTCATTTTCAGAAGTGCTCAGAGGTGTCTTAATTCTTTCCACTTTGAAGTTAAGGTTATACTATTTTCAGGGAATAAGCAAGGGTAATGCTGAACTTACTTTTAATCTCAAGTAACAGCAAAATCAAGGATCTACTGGATCCAGAAAACCAGCAGAAATCATTGCAAGTAGCTATAGGATATGAGGAGAACACATTGAATTGTTCCTTTATGCAGCACTGTATTCATCTCTTGCAAATACTCATCTTTCCAATAGCTATTTCTAAATAAAATCAGATTACTACTGCTTGTGTTCCTCACTTCATGTTCCCATCTGATCAAAAGACCAACAACAGATTACAGTAGCCTTCTCCTCTTCTATACCTCCATGTTGTGTCTGGCAGTTCACAGTAGTACAAATGGATTGCTAACACATTTCAGGACCTCATCCCTCATCTGGCAAAGCCCTCCAGCACTCTGAATAACCTAATTGCTGAAATGTGTTACCTGTAATCATAGAATGGTTTTGGTTGGAAGAGATCTTTAAGATCATCCAGTCCAACCATCAATCCAGCCCTACTAAGTCCACCACTTGAACAACATCCCTAAGCACATCTACTTGTCTTTCAAACACCTCCAGTGACTCAATCACCTCCCTGGGCAGCCTGTTCTAGTGCTTGGCAACCCTTTCAGTAAAGGAATTCCTCCTAATAACCCCTGGTGCAACTTGAGGCCATTTTCCCCTGTCCTATTGCTAGTTACCAGAGAGAAGAGACCAACTCCCACCTCACTACAACCTCTTTTAAGGTAGTTGTAGAGGGTGATAAGGTCTCCCCTCAGCCTCCTCATCTCCAGGCTAAACAACCCCAGGTCCCTCAGCTGCTCCTCATCAGACTTGTGCTCTAAACCCTTCACCTTCAGTATCTGAGGTGTGGATTCACCAGTGCGGAGTACAGTGGGATGATCACTTCCCTGGTCCTGCTGGCCACTCTATTCCTGATGCAGATGTCTTTGGCCTTCTTGGCCACCTGGGGACACTGCTGGCTCACGTTCAGCCTACTGTCAATCAACACCTTAACAATGCAGTGAAATGTAGTGAATGTATTTGAAGTGTGTGCACTGTACACTGTATATTCTGTAAAGCAAAGGATTTAATAGTGTATACTTTCTGTACTAAAAAATTATAAAAAGCAATAAGTTCAGAACAAAAGTGTATTAAATTAATTAAGCAATTGTCAGTCACATAAACTAATTAGAACTTAGATCCAATTAGCATATCCAAATATGTTGGAGGTATAATTACTGTATAGACTATTGCTTTTACCATACTTAAAATCCTAGGAAGTTACTGAAGACCCTTTGCATCCTTTTGAGGTCAAAATCCACTTTTAATTACGTACATTAATGTGTACATATTTATATAATTAACTTTTTAGCCCAACTCATTCTACCTTTCAAAGGAAAAAAATTGCAGTATTGGAACATCAGCATAGCAAAGTTTTTTCCTTTAAAAAGGCACATTTTGTTTTCAATTATCGGTCATTTAATTTTCAATTCAATTGTTCCTTTGTGCAGCACAGTCATGGAGAAGACAAATGTGCAGTGCCTTGCCAATGAAGTTGACATTGATATTGAGTGGGAGCTGTTTACTGTTATTAGATGAAAACAAATCAACATTTATCAACGACAATTTGAGCTTGTCATTGCAGCAAGAAGCAAATGTAACTATTGCTGAAAAAGCAAGGTGGGAGTAGTATGAAGCTACCTCTTCAGCTCTACCTCTTGCTTAACCACTTCTTGGAAAACATTTGTTGCTTCTGCATTTACTTGCTTTTCCTTTTGTTCTGTCTCTCATAGTAGAAATGAGAGAACAGATCAGGCAATAACAGAGTCTCACATTAATTCTGGTTGATTTCTGCAGAACAATCTGAGTGATGGGAACCCTCTATTGAGCACAGTGCTTATCATCTTCATACCACATGAATTTTGTCATTTATTGTGCTTTGTATTTCAGGTGCAGTTTTGTTTATTTTATTTTATATTCACTCTGCTACATTCAGATATAAAATGATGAAGATGGAAAAGTTGTCAGTGTCCTGCATTCTTTGATATCCACCTTACAATCTCTTTCTGACCATCTCACCTCCCAGCTTTTATCCCCTCTATCACCATTATTAGAATGGGTTTCTCTCTCCTGTTTTTCTGCCAGAGCCTCCCTTTGCAGAGGTGCTTTTTCATTAGAAGTTTATATGAGCTATGTGTTATGGAAGGTCTGTAATTTGTATATTGATATTAAAATAGGCAAAATCTATTTTATGTACATCTTCAATTTCCAGACACTGATTTATAATGAACTTGGAACACTAAAATCTATAATGCCTTTATGATAGAACTTAGAGCCAGACTTTTCCCCCTACTTCCTATGAAATTAGTGAGTTCTGCTGAATATCTGAGAGCTTTCACTTCTTTTCCTGGCAAAGTAAAACATCCATTAAAACCATGTCAATTAATCGAGAAAAACACATTGACCCGGTGGGATCACAGTTGAGGACAAACACAGAAACTAAGTAAAATCAGAATACTGATAAAAAATGCATTACTGAATTGCTCGTCACTACAGGAGAATGTAGACTGTTTGTTACTTCAATTAATGTAGAAAATATACAGGAACTTGTTCATCCAGTATTGCAATGCAACCACCTCTGAACTCAGACTGCATCACAGCAACACTGCAGAACATTCAGGAGCAGAAAACACTCTAGAGAAGCTGCAAGGGAAATCAGAGTTAAAATACCATTACATCTGCATCTGGAATTGATCAAGACACCAGGATTACAGTCGCAACTCTTTCCTTTATTTTCCTGGCATAAAAAAAGGAAAAAAAAAAAAGAAGAAAAAAAGGAGGAAAAAAAAAGAACAAAAGAACAAGGTCTTGGTTTTACTATGACAGCCTGACAAAATCTTTCCAGTGGAAATGCCCACCACAGAGGTCCACTGTTGAGGAATTGGTCCATTAGCAGCTCATAAGAGAGCTGATCACCCATAGAAATACCAGTCTCCTTGCCTGCAATACCCTTATGTTCTTCAGAAACTCCCTTCTCAATTTTCACCCAGGTCCAACATGCTTTAGGAATTGACTTTTTCCAATACATGACTTCAACAGAAGAAATGCATGTTAATAATGCCCTTTTATATTGCAAAGCATGATAAAAATCACATGAATGGAAAAGACATCATGAAGCTGTCATGAAACAGCACTCAGCTAGGAGTTTCTAACTCCCAGGTCAGCTGGGAAGACTCAAAATGGGATACACAACAAAAAATAATGAAGAAAATGAGTTTTTGTGATGTGTGAATTCAGCATTTACAAAATTTACTAGGACACCAGTTAAGGCAAAATTCAAACAGGACATAGAAACAGTTTTGCAGAATATTCC